ATGCTAGCTAGGCAGTCTTAGAAGGATCTCAAAAATAGAAGGGAGCCAGTGGAAGGTGAAAACATACCGAAGGAGGCTGGAAAATGGGTAGAAAACAGAGCGAGTGATGCAATCTAACATGACAGAAAAAGAATGTGTTGTAGTGATCTGCCATGGATGGGGACAGTTGAGAAAGGGAACTTTCACCTCCAGAGAAAACCAGGCACTGGATGCTTGGAACAGGGTTGGGAGGGAGGTCTGCACTGTCATATGCACAAGTACTATGTATGTTTCCAAAAAGAAACAGGGGAAGCGTTTTTATGTGTAAACAGATAAGACTACTGTATTGCTAGTTTCTTGTTAGTGCATGTGTTTTTTTTCCTGTGGTTTCATTATCGTGGAATCTGTAGATGACTCAAATAACTTAAGGGCAGATTTCTGAAGATGTGTGAATGTTTATTTTGTGTTTGTAAGCATCCAGATCCCTTAACAAAGTTATCCCTCGGGCCATGCCATTACATTTCCTGCATTCTTCACAAACACTGTCTTTGTTCTTGTAACTTAGCAGCTTTCCAAGATGCTGCATCTCTCATGTGTCAGACCTGAACATGTAATGGCGAGCGAGGTGCTCCTTCAATCTGCAGACATCTCTTCTGTTTCCTCCTCCCGAGGGAGGCCATGTCACCGGATGGACTTACCCGGCCACCTCTGTGCTTCACTGCCAAAATGGCGGCTACTGAGTGGAGAGAGAGACCTCGCACTCAGAAGGCAGGGCCTTTGGGGTGCCCACGCCGAGCTCGGCGCTCACTCTGCCTCACCTGAGAGTTTGTGCTGCAGCAGGAAGGAGCAGAGCCGAGCTGTGCTGCCTGACTGGACGTGCCAGTGAGAGCATGAAAGCCGCTGGCAAAAACAGCATTGTTGATGTTTATGCAGTGTTGGCCAGGCCTGAATCCTTGCAGCACGCTACGCAAAAAAGCAGCAGAGAGGGAGAGGGAGCAAACTGCGGTGGCACTCCAGCATTAACCCTTCTTTTTTTCAGCTGATCACATGGCACAAGGGCCTCTCTGCCGCTCTCCTGCTGCTTACAGGATGGCTGCGTGCTGTCAGCCATTCCTGTCCGCCCTCCTGAACCAGCCATGATGGCGGCTGCTCCTCACAGGCAAGAGGAGTAAAGGAAACGGAGCCTGACTGAAGCAATTAGATACAAAATTGGCAACTTCATCACGTGTTACTTTGATGATTACATTTGATTGCTGTTTACTTTTTTACCTGAGAGCCGGCTGCTGAAACACCAGATGGTTATAGTCAGAGTGGGATTTGGAGAGGGCCGTGCAAGCTGTTGTAATACAAGGCAAGCCCAGCTTTCCATCAGCAAGAGAGGCATCTTGACCTTTGGTATTTTTTTAGAAATAGACTTTTTTTCTTCTTCTTCTTTTTCCTTTTTTTAATTATTAAAATTGGCCCACTAATTTGAAGAGGTGCAGTTATTTTTGGAGAGCTCCATAAAATTTGGGAAGGGCCTGAAACGATCTGTTTCCTCTCCCATAGGCACAGATACCCGAGCAACAGCTTGGAAGTGGCTAGCCTGTGGGCAGCTCTTCAGGCTTTTGAGGGAGATCAAATAGTCTTCTGAAGTAATAGATGTGCAGTTGTGCATCAAAGTTTAATAGACGGAGAGACGGTCATGTGAACAAGGGAGGCCCATGTCCCAACTTTACGGTGCTACAAGGTCTGCTGTGCAAACTCAGCATGTACAGAAGACAGCTAAAGAACCAGGGGACTTGAAGAGGGAAAGGTTGAGTGCTTCTACCCTCTTTTTATAAGATTTACACATTCTCCTTTCCAAGTGTTTCTTTGCTATAGCTGGACCTGGAGAGGGGGGATTGGGTGGGGATGCTCAGTCCTAGAGCTGAGGCTTGAGGTAAGCATCCAGAACTGCTAAACTCATATAAAATGGACAGGAATTGGTATAATTTGGAAAAAACTTGTTCTCTCAGTCTTTGTGACTGACTTGAGCTGTGCCAGTGACATCATCCTCAAGATCTTACATTGTTTCATTAGGCAAAATTATGTTATTCAATGGAGTAGTGTTATTTAATGTGTTATTTAATTTTGGGTGGTCCTGCGTGGAGCCAAGAGTTGGACTCTGTGATTCTAATGGGTCCCTTCCAACTTGGGATATTCTGTAGTCCTATGATGCTATGAGTCATTGGGAAAAAGTTCAATACTGTTAAATCTGGAAGGACTCATTACTTTGGTAATCAAGTTTTGTCCCCTGATGTAAGTTTCCTCTGTGTACTTGTGCAACATTACTACTGCTGAGGCCTTCTTCAGCCACTGCCCCTTGGCTCTCTTCCCTCAGCCCCCTCAGATGTCACCATTGCCAGTAATAGTAAAATCAATGAAAAAATGTGATTCTGTTGATTAGCAAGAAGGTTTGCAAGGGATCTTGATCATGAACGCATAATGTGGGCCACAGATAGCAGTGGAGAGCTGGAGAGATTTTGTTTCTCATATGGAAAGACTGATGAGTCTCAAGACTAAGTTGGTATTCGTGCCCAGAAAATGTAGCACAGGTGTTGTATGCATTGCTTTTATATAAAGTATTAACACTTAAAATTTGATTTTTTTAGCATTTTGAAAAGCATACTGTCTGACAGGAGTCAAGTTTGATGTTGTTTGGAAGAGGTATGTTTTGTATCAGCAACAAGTAGACAAAAGCTTTCAGCAACTTGTTTCATTTGTCACAAGTGAGCATTTGATGCTACTGCTTCCTCCATATTAGGTAGAAGCTTTTATAAAACATTCATGAATGTTCATAAATTCTATAGTTACTACTGAATCATAATGAATGTCTAAGCAAACTTGCAGATATTTAGCAATCTTTTATACTGTGCACGTCTTCTTTACTCCAACCTAACCCTTCAAAACGGGAGAATTATTCATTCTTTGTATTAGGGATCACTTGGTCCCAAGAAGGGACTTGATGAGGGGGGAAAAAAAGATGTGCTAGCAATGTGCCCATGGGACAGAAAAGGCCACCAGAATGCTGGACTGCATTAGGCAGTGCATTGCCAGCAGATTGAGGGAAGTGATCCTGCCCCTCTGCTCAGCACTGATGGGAATGCACCTGGATTATGGGCCTGGTTCTGGGTTTCTCAGTACAAGAGAGACAAGGACTTACTGGCATCAATCCAGTAAGATGATAAAAGGATTGAAGCATCTCTCTATGAGAGAGTTGGGACTGTTCCACTTGGAGCAGGCGTGGTCCAGAGGCAACTTATTGATGTGCCTAGCTTCCTGATTGGAGTGCAGAGGTGGAGAATAAATAGTACAAAACCAAACTCTTTTCAGATGCATCCAGTGATAGGGCAAGAGGCAGTGGGCGCAGACTGAAAAACAAGAAATTCCATTTGAACATAATGATTGACATTTGGACTAGATGATCTTTGGAAGTCTTTTCCAAACTTTGTGATTCTATAAGAATAAGCTGCTTTTTCTTTGGTTTTTTTTTTTTTTTTTTCCTGTGCAAGTAACTGAGCACTGGCACAGGTTGCCCAGAGAGATTGCAGATTCCCTCATATTGGAAATCTTCAAACCCGAAATGGATGCAGTTCTGAGCAATTAACTTTTGCTGTCCTTGGACTGGACTGGCAATTTCCACAAGTCTCTTCCAACCTGTTATTTTGCATTTTGGTAGTGTCTGGGATGCAGCAAACGAGGAGCCTGTTGCATAGTTATTAGGACACTGATCTGCACTTTGAGCAGCATGGAGTAGAGCAGGCTTCCTATTTCCACTGCAGAACCAATCAGCTATTAGATGATGACTTGTATTCATTAATGACATTAAATGGATTTTTAACATGGAAACGAGAAGAGGAAAGCAGGGTAACTCATTATTAGCTATGGGTTTGCCTGAAGCAAATTTCCCGTGTTAAAACGCTTAAAAGCAAATATAGAATTTATGGTGTGTCATTAGATTTTAAACCTAAATAAGTCCAGTTGTTGTATGGCTAATAATGCAAATTATAAGACAGTTTCAGTGTAAAGCAGTAAATATGTACTGTCCACTTAAACATGCTTTACCCCTCCTCCCTCTTTTCCATTAATATTTTATACCCCTGAAGAGATGTTCTCAACATATTATGTACACTAGCATACTGTTCTCATGGTATTCCTGGATTTCATTACAAAGAAGCCTGAAGAGTGTACCACTGCTCTGCTGCTTGTGATGCTAGCTTGGAAATTGCTTGGAGCAACAACAGCAAGTGTCAACAGGGAGCCATATTAATTATTTGGAATGTGCCTCATAAGAGGAATCAACTGCTTTTATTGCAGCACGAATATTACTTGAAACAGGAAGGTTACTCTAGCTGTTATCGTAATCTATGTGTCATTAACTTTCCGTGTTTAGAAAAAGAGATTAACAACCCTGTAAATTGTTACAGTAAATAGATGAATTATAACAACATGTTTTTTATTATAAATAAAAGTTTCTTGATATAGTTGCTTCCAAATTACTGGAGAAGAATTGAGTCTCTACCTACTGGGAAGCTGCATGGCAGTGTTGAGAACAGAAAAGCTTCCATTCAGGTGAAAGCAACGCTAAGCTCCACAAAGCAGTATCTGTATCTTCTGCAGATGGGACAAACAGATGCAGTTGTACTTCATACCATACTTCCCTCAGAAATTTTTGTGACACAGAACTACTAGTTTGCCTCTTAGAGTGAAATTAACACATTGAATGGGTTTCTGTGAAACTCGTTGACTTCTGTGGCATACGGCCCCTTAAGAGAACATTGTGCAAAATGTATGTGGTAAAACAGGTATAAGTTCTGAGTAGATGCCTCTACAAAATGGAAGTTCATCTTCCTTTTGAACATTAGTGTATGTGAAAAATGTGCTTTAGAAAAAATACAAACCTGTTCTGAGTCCTGGGCCACAAAAATATTGTATGTTCAATTATAACCTAATAGATTTCTGTAGAAAACAGCACAACTAAAAAACTTATTTGTCCACAGGGCAGGCTCACCATGGGCAGGTTTCCTATATTGCCCCACCAATCCACCTCGATTCGGATCTGGAGCGACCACCATCTAAGGGTGAGTCAGAGGTGCAGTCTCCATGCATGTGCATTGTGAAAGGGCCAAATATGTGAGTGTATGTCATTCATTTGTTCATTGAGTAGCTGCAGTTAGCATGTTTCATGCAAGTGCTCAGGAGCAAATAATTTCCTATGGAAGTATTGTATGAGAGAGAACTGTGTCCCATGTGCCATATTATGTAGCTTTGAGTACACCATTTTGTTCACAAGTCACATTGCTTTCTCCACTAGTTCACTTCTGGGATATGTTAACTTCAGCTCTTACCCTCTGCATGCTGCATTTCCTTTCTAATTGTAGTGCACAGGCAAAGGGGACTTGTAGCAGTATACAAAAGAGCATATTTCAGCTGCCTTCAGGTGAGTGAAGGTATATAGGTATTTTGCAGCAGTTCAGTCCTGGATTCCATCCATGTTACCATTATCAAGGATTTTTTCAAAATTGGTAGAGAGACATGGTAACTCTAGAGGATGACTCCAGTTTTAGGCTACCTAATTAGTAGCTAATATGTGTGGACTGAACCCAGAGTAGCTCTGCTAAGATATGTGCCTCTGTTGAATTGTGAAAATAAGGTGATATGAAAGTGAGCCTTTGATTTCTGAGCCTGATTTAGAGGATCTTCACCTAGCTGCATTGTGATGAATCCTCACTGGAGGATTCCCCGTGGCCTGTGGAAATGGGCTCAGACCCAGAGTATGCATTCACTGCTACAAATCAAGCAGTAGCAGAAGAGATTTCTTGATCGGCTTCAGGAATGTGTAGGAACAACAAACACAAGGAGTGTTATTGAAGAAAGGAATGGGAGGAAATATGGCAGCCAAAGCGTGCTAGCAGGCAGATAACACTATAGATTAGGGTTTTTTGTTTTGTTTTGTTTTGTTTTGTTCCCTTCTCCTGCCCTTCGAAACATGTTGCAGTGGCAGAAAAGGTATGGGCTTGTCCTTTGTAGTGATTTTGCTGTTCTGCCTAAGTACTGTAAGGCTGAGAGCACGTTTGTGCGGGTATATGTTTCTCTAAAATATGTGCCTGAAAAATATATTAATGAAAGATTAATCTGGATAGGTTCACTGTCATTACATTATATGAAAAAATCTGTCCTCTGAATTTCACTTCTTTGTGCATTTCTAATATTCTCAGAGACAGAACAACCTTTGTGTCAGTGAATTGCAGCTGCAACTGCAAACATATCCCTACACCTCCAATAGCCGAAGGACTTTGTAGTCTAAATGAAAGCATACCATTAATGCACTTGGTATGAAAGGCTGTCTTAAGTTCAAGTGAGCTTTTCCATCACCATCCATGCGTCTTGAGCCATAATTCGATCAAGTAAATGTTTGTTTCCCTTTGTAAGTGTGAATGTGTTTTCTCAGCTGATGAAGTAATGAAAATGAAGGAATTGACTCTTGCTATACAAAACCAGCCTCAGCACAATTATTCATTGCTAGCTCCTCTTGCATCTCTATGAGGTAGAACTATGTTCTGGAGGGCAGATGATGCTGGATTCACGGTGCTGTCTCCAAAGTTAGTCTTGCTGTGAGTCAGATCGATCACATACAGTCTCCTGGCAGTCTACAGCTTCCATTCATTTTTGGGTGAGGTACACCCTAAGATGAGATTTGACACATATGAAATTGTCAACTTATTCTAAGCTACGTGAAAACCTCAAGGTTTATAATAAAACTTGCCAGCCAAAAGCAGATTTTTTAGCAAAGCACTCCAATAAAGCAGAAACAGACAGGAATTTCAGGACCTTCTCACTCAAATCCTACTTTGATGTTGAGTGTAATGATTCAGAACTTAATTAGAATAGGTCAGTGTACATCTTTGTCATGGAGTCTGAAGCAGCCTATATGGAATGAAACAGCAAGGAGAATGAAACAACAGCAAAGATGATGCTGTGCCTTACTTTCTCCAAGGTAAAAGAGCTAAGGATTATCAAAAACCTTCAGTAATCTGCCATTTGGGAGGGCATAGCTACCTCTGCAAGATGAATGCCACTGCCGACAGGAGCAGGACAATGTCTATCACGCAGAACAGTTGCAGCACTTGCAGAGAAGGTAAAATAGAGTTTGTTCAACATAAACTGCTGCATTAACTGCTTCCACTGGGCCATCCACCCCCCGACTGAGACATTTTAAAGAAAGGACTGCTTAGTGTGGAAGGAATTATGTTGCTGGTGCCACATGCTGGTAGAAGGACTTGAATCCCTTTTGTAATTTAATGGGAGAGAACCAGGGAGGCAGCCAATCCATTAGCTGGTGTCTGGGGGGTGTTAAAAATATGGTAATTGGTACTGTCTCCTGAGGAAGAGCAAGGCTTTCCTTTGGCCCTGGGACATGTACATCTAGCTATGCATATGCTGCCTCATTTCCAGCCTCAGTGCCCCAAATCCATTAGGACATTCTAAAAATCCTGGTGTGATTTTTTGTTTGTTTGTTTTTTTCTAAGCATGTAGCAGTTATAAAGTGGTTCTTTTTTGGGCTACATTTTCTGAGACTATGGGACACACTCAGATTATGTTTCAAGCTTTATCCCATTGCCACAGGGTGTATTTAAAAAAAAAAAAAAAGGAGGACGAAACAACCTTTATCATGAAGCAATTGTTGATTCTCCACAATTTCAATAACTGGGACTTTAAATATAGAGTACCAGTTTACAACAGTGAACATAAACCACTGAATGCTTTAGTTGCTTTGATGCCCTTCATTTCCTTTCCATGTTCTCCCTAGCATTGAGCTAACTAACTAACTAACACCAGTTACTGGTTAGTGTTGCACTTAAAGTGACAAAAAGAACATAGGTGATAGCCACCTTACAGTTTTAATTGTAATAAATGAAAATTGAGCCAGGTTAAGGATATAAAAACATCTTTCCTTCCTGTATTAAAAACTGTACAGATTTAGTGCTGTTGTGGATCTATGCAGTTGCAATTCTCAGCTGGCAGATTTATTGGTAACTGCTTCTTCCTTCTCCTTTTTAAAAATTTTATCGCTGGTGACATTTACCCACATTGTTTATGCATGCAGTGCATTTTTACCTGCCTTTCAGAGTCCTGATGCTCGTGCTGAATAGAGTATAAACTCCAGTAGTTTACTAGTACATTAGTGTCATCATACATTACAGGGTAATTACTCTGAGCCACTGCTTTGTATAGTAATGCAGTAATGACACCGTAAATCACTTAATAGAAATAAGGTGCTGTATCAGCATTTGAAACAAGACACTGATTTTTACCCACCCCCTTTTTAATTTGAGAGTATTTTCAAATTAGTTCCATATATGAAGCATTGTTAACCATTATTTTTATACTTCCTCTCAGTCTGATGATTCAGGTGCATTACTTATACTCACCTGTTTACACTGTCCATATGCAGAATGATTCCAGGGATAGATAAGTTCTTGGACCACTGAATATAAGTAAAATGCCGTGGGGTTGCCAAAGCAGTCACAAAGTTGTGTCTTCATCATGCATGGTCCCGATGATGATGCAAGCCAGGAACTGGTGGCTAGATTTTGAAATCATAGAATCATCTTCGTAGGCCTCCTTTGGATGATCCCTAATTGTTTTTTTTTTGTCCTTCTTGTATCATGGCACACAAAACTGCACCCAGTGCTGGAGGTGAGGCTGCACAGTGCAGAGCAGAGTGAAACAACCCCTACCCTCGCTTGGTGGCAGTGCTGGGTCTGGAGCACCCCAGGGTATGGTTAGTCATTTGTCTACAGGATACACTGCTGTCTCAGATCCAACTTATCATCAACAAGAATGCTCAAATCCCTTTTCCAGAGGGCTGTTCTCCAATCTCTTAAGCCTCCCATGTTGAGGCTAGTGTATAAAGAGAATCTACTTACCTTGGTGAGCTCTGTTCCCTGTCTTCCGTGGGTAGCCAACAGTGTTCCAAGAACCTTTCTTTCACTTGGGCAGTCCTGTTTTACTGAGCTGTAGCTGTCAATCATTGTATTATGGCACCAAACCCTTTCTTGTAGTCATACTTGTGATCTCATAGGCTGAGAATTAAACCTATGTTTAAAAATGGATCATTGGTTACTGATAATAGCAAGGAATTTCACAGATAAGGGTGATTCTGATACACTGCCTTAGAAAGAAATTCAATGGAATTATCATATATAGCAATAAATTAAATTTAACATTTGGACTGAGTTTCCACCAGGTACTAAAATACAGTAGATAGAGTGAATTAAACTTACTGAATCCACACACTAAAACTATTTATAAAGCTTTATTGAAGCAGATTTGGGTGCATATGTGGAGTCATATTAAACATGAAATATATATCTGGCTTTTAGAACTAGGCAGTCCAAGAAGCTCTCCTCCCCCATTGAGCTAGCATTTTGCAAAGGTTTCCTTCAAAATCAAAGCTCAAGGGGAGTAGTTGTCTTGGAGATTAATACACTTAAAGTCAGTGTGTTTCCAAAACAAGAAATTATTAGCAACACCATTTATTGCTCCCCAGCTCTGCTAATATATAGCAAATAAAGGAGAGATGGGAGGTTTCTGACCCTTCCATGTGTATTTCTCAAGCAAGCAGGTTGTTCTGGTCCCAGCTCAGGTATCGGACTGTTTTCCTGTAAATCTCAGTTACATGGTTCAGCTTCCTTAGGCACAGAATCTCTTTTATAGGAAATCCTGTTGGATTTGCTATCAGGGAGACAAGCAGAGGTTTTGCTGTTTTTCTTCCTTTCTCTCCAGCTCAGCGGTGTGCCCCTTTATGCATCTTTCCCTCAAAAGCTGGGCCCACTTTATCGTTTTTCTTCCTCTTTACATTTGCAAAGTCTGAGGAATAGTCAACCGCTCCTGAGCATCAGAAGCACTGCAAAATCTTATTACCAAAAATAGATCAGGTTTTGGGATGCACACATTCTGGGCCTTTTTTTTCCTCCTCCCAAAGGTCCCTCAAAAGGTCGCTGGTTTTTGCAGATGATGTGGGAGGATGTGACAGCCAGTTACCAGCAGGGCTGGTTGCAGAGCCCAGCACCCCTTC